GTTTTATATGAATTCCATGTTGTACGAGTCACTTAGATTTTACAAATACGTGTGCCGGGCTGTGAACGGCTCACGTATTTGTAAAATCTAAGTGACTCGTACAACATGGAATTCATATAAAACAGAAAAATCAACAGTGTTATAAGGGGGTCGACTGGTATGCCAGAAGGGTTAAATTAACAAAGCGCATCAAAGAAAAGCGATTCTTTCCAAGGACTTTTATATATTTTTATTTTTATTTCGATTGTATTTAATGTATAATGTAAGATACTTTTATTTTTATGTAATCGTCGTCTTTGTTTTCACGTATATTTGTTAATTTTCGGGGGTAGACGTCGACTGTTCTTCCAGAATTTTATATTCTACTTCTAAAAATAAATGCGGTACAGTACATAATCGGTATAAATACGTTTGTTAATTACAAAATCGTTTTTTAACTCGTAAATTTAAATAATATTTCTTTAAGAAACAAGTTAATCTTTTCTTAAAAAGCATTATTGAAATTTCCCGAGTCAATAGAAAAAATGGCTTATAAAGAAAACAAAGTTATATTTTGTCGATCGTTCGTCTCTTATTTGGTCGCTCGTATGACCGGCGCCCAGTTAGCAGCAGCCCAGTCGACCGTCGCCCAAAATTCCGACCTCGTCGCTTTCACGAGTACAGTCGACCCCCCATAACACTGTCGATTTTTCCGTTTTATATGAATTCCATCTTGTAGGAGTCACTTAGATTTTACAAATATGTGTGCCGGGCTGGGAACGGCTCACGTATTTGTAAAATCTAAATGACTCGTAAAACATGGAATTCATATAAAACGGAAAAATCAACAGTGTTATAGGGGGGTTGACTGAAAAACAGCGCCGATAGAAGTACGTTATAACGAGGGAGAGAAGCTTTCATCCGGTCCGTAACTCATCGATCGGTCCGACTGGGATCGAACGGATTACCGAGGTTTTTCTCGATAAGGTGAGGGAAAAGGTCACGCGTGTCCAAAAGTGGAAGTCGTCCGGCAAAACCCCCTTAAAAGCGACACTTACGTAATCCGCGAGGACGCGTCATTTCCGCTTTTACGCCCCGATATCCGACGGTAAACAGAACGCGTGGCGGGTTATATTTAAACTCCGGCCCGTCCTCTTTTCCCAAAATATCGAAATTCGGGTAACCCGTTAACCGTTACGTAAGAGTTTCGTCATTTCCGGAAACCACTTTCCTAATTTTCGTCGTCGACCGCGCTCGGTCTCTTGGGAAGAAGAAGTAAACCCGACGTTGGAAATAATTATAAATCGAATAATATTTCGATTCGTCGGTCCTTGGCCTTTATTCTACATCGACTCGGGTCTAATCGATCGAGGAGGGTTTCTGAGATGTTCCCCCCCTTTCGCTTACCGATCGGAAGAGGGAAACCTTCCGACAGGAAGGCGAATTACATACATTATAATTTTCCCAGGCGTTATCTTTACCGTCCTAATTTTCAAGTACTGTATTTAATTACCGGTGCCGAGTCAAACTTTCCGAGCAACGACCATAAAAAGTTAAACCGAATATAAGCGAAGATCCCATTTGCGTAACGAGCGTGACGTTTCTGTCGCGCGACTATGAAAAATCGCTGTCGTGAGTTATAAACGCGCCGAGGAGCGAGAGAAACGAGTCGGGGAATATTAAAAACGTGTCCGAGTTTGTCGATAAATTACATTAGAACCCAAGCGACGAGTGGTAGCGAGAAAAAAAATACCTCCGACGGACGGGAGATACTTCTACGATTTGTATGCGCGTGGCCAATTACCGGGCCTTTTTTGGGCTCTCGAAAGGACCGGACACTAAAACAAATCTAGTTTTCGTCTTTCGCAGAATCCAATGGCTCTGCAAACGTTGTTCATTTCGTGCACGGGTGGCGATGTTTCCCCAGTAGCGGGTGTTAAAGGGGAGAAATTTCCTCGGCGCTCGTCTCCGACGACGGAAGCGGAGCGTTTCCTCGCCCGGTCGTCGCGCGCGGCGTTCCGGCTTCTCGAAAGCCTCCGGTGTCGGGTTCCGACGCGCGCCTCTTAATTCCTCCGTCGACTCCTTTCGTCGAAAGCCCCCATCGCTCCGTTCTCGTCCGGACAGAAATTTCTCTCCCGACGCGGCCGATCCCCGGGAAAAAGAAAAGAGATTATCGACCGGAACCGGAAGTCGCTTAATTACTATTGCCGGGAAGAGTATACCCGTTCCCGTTCCGCTCGCGCCTCCGCCCCTCGGTCCGAAAAGGAGGACGTGTTCCGTTCGGTCTTTAATTAACCGGAGGAAAACGCCGCTTCCCCACCGCCGAAAGAGGACGACGGAGGCCGATCGATGGGGACTTTTCTTCGGACGCGGCCACGCCCGTCTCGGACCGTTCCATGGCGTGGGGGGAGCGTCGGGGCCGACGACCCCGGCCGGCGCGTCCGACTACCACCGCGACTGCGCCGCATTTCCCGACGGAACGACGACCGGTTAATAACCGCTCGGACGGGGGCTCGGGCGGACGGGTCTCCGACGGCGATGGGGCCGGGACCGGCTCCTCCTCTTCCCCGGATCGGGTGGAAAGATGCTGACGAAACGAAAAGAAAAAAGTCGGGAGGACTGCACGTCACCCGGCGGAGGAAGGCGCGCGCGTGGAAAAAGAATGCCCCCGCCTCGGAACGCGCCGATCCGCCTAAAAGAGCGACGACCTTCGCGGACGGATCCGCGGCGCGGGTCCGAGAGAGGCCACCGCTTCGGACGACGGAGAGGCAAGGCGTCCGCGTCGCCCGCGGGTAGGAGTGGCCCGGGCCTCCGGTACGGTCCGGGGACGCTTTCCTTCCCGCGGGTCGGTCGACTCCGGATTCCCCGCCTCCCGTCCCTTCTTCGCCCCCCGCTGGGTTCCGCGGATTCCCCCCGCCGCCTTCGGAAAAAAACTCACCTCTGCCGCGTCCCACTCGGCGCGGGTCGTTTCCGGCCGTCCAGAACGAATCCCGACGGAGTCGCTGCGCCTGCGCCGCGCGTTGCCGTCGACGGCGGCGGTCGGGCCTCAGTGGCTCCCTCTGCCGGACGAAATCTTACCGACGAAAATTATCGGGTACTTCCCTCCGGCTAAGGCTTTAGCGGTCTCTCCCGAAAACCCCGACATTTTAGGGTCCGACGACCGGAAAAAATTTAAGACTACGTAAGATTTAACGCGGAAATTCCCGCAAAGAGCACTTTATCTTTTACCTTTCTGGTAATTATTCTTTTTGGTAATAATTACCGAAGAAGGCTGTACCCAACGTGGCTTAAATGTTCCTAAACAATTGTTGCAATTTACTATTTAACACTACAAACAATTTAAGATTGTTGAGGATTGCTTACGATGTCGACGTGGAAATTATCATTTTGCGGGATCTTTTCGATATTTAATTTAAAGTCGACGCAATTCCACTCGATTAACTTTTATTGCGCGTAAGGATCAGTTTTCCCCGTTACGTGGGGGGTTAACGTACAAAAATTTATATACCGATTGTTAGTTTTACGACGGTGTTATTGTAGAATTTTTAATAAATTAAACGATAAGAAATCACGTCTACTATTTTTCTAAGAAAATTAAGTCCGGACACAATCTACATGTATTAAATTCTACTCCGAAGACACTTCCGGGTATGTTACATTCTAAACACAACGTTTTAAGAATAAATGTCTTTTGTACAGTACCTATTTACATTTAGTCAAACATCAAATGGGTTAATATAATAGAATAATGGCAATTATCCTAAAACAAATAAGGCAAATGGAGTACGGTCGACCCCCCTATAACACTGTTGATTTTTCCGTTTTATATGAATTCCATGTTGTACGAGTCACTTAGATTTCGTACAACATGGCTCGTGACTCGTACAACATGGAACAAAGTGACTCGTACAACATGGAATTCATATAAAACGGAAAAATCAACAGTGTTATAGGGGGGTCGACTGGTACCTTCATTTCTCACACGTGCAAATGGAGTGAAATATCTATACTTGTTCTGTTCGATCCGTAAATTAAACTCTGTTATACTATATAAATTTAAACTTTGGGGGTTTTTCTGGTAATGGCTATCTCACGCATTTCCGAGACACCCGACTAATTTTAACTACGGGAATACGGTCCGAATCGTTCGTGTTCGGCTCCTTACTTAAACACCAATCAATTAAAACATCCGAACAAATAAGGTAATCGACTATTAATTTACTAACACGTGATGTAAAAGAATACACGTCCGGTATACCGCCGAGAATGGCCTACTTTTGCGTCACAGATTTATATCTATAATACGGCCGGAATATCATTTTTCTAAAACCAATGAGAATGATTTTTAATATAACTTATCGTATTCGTTGACCGATTTTACGTAAAACTTTTCCCTCAACCCCCAAACACAAAAATTGCTGTGTCGAACTTATCATACAGGAACACACATATGGCGAAGAGAATAGACTTTATTATTTCTGTACAAAGTGGTGGAAATGTATTTCGGGCTATTTGTCCCTCTTCTAATTCGTAAAATTATAAATTCTGTGTAAAATACATTAAACTTAACGTTTATTTATATTACATACGTGCAAAACTTGGAGAAAACAAAAATTGAAGGTTACCTGAAACAATATTTGCTCGTGACGCCTGGATAAAAGGTGTAGAATTAAAACCAAAACAACAAAGAACGAAAACGAGTTAAACTAAAATGAATTAAGAATTAAAAAAAAATTAAATAAATGCAATTAAAATGGGGTAAAAGGGATTGATTACCTGTGTGTAGTTAAAGATAAAAGTTGCTAAATTATTAAATTGTGAAACGAAAGGAACCAACCAAAAGGTTTACACCCCACAGTTTTATGTCCGTCTGTCTTTCCTTAATGTTGTGAAAGGAGTTAGATAAATGAAATCCGAGACCAGATATGAAAACCTTAGAGGAAAGAGGTCCCGATTATGCCAACAATTTTCCCTCGAAAGGTGTTAGATAGATGACCGGCACGACTCTATTGTTAAAGGAAAAGTATGATGTATGGGGACAAGCTACTACTAATGTACTGTACTGCACGCGCAGTGAAAAAATACGCACGCAATCTGTTTCCCGTATCGTCTCTCGCATTACGTTCGTATGTTTTCGGTGTTTTTTTTTCGGTTTATTTTTGGTGCATTTGGTTATTTATCTTGTGTTATTCGTCTATTTTTAGCAATTTCTTCCTGAAATTATTTTTCGTCGACAGCTTTTGGGCACCCCCCATACGTTTTGTATCCTTTAGTTGAAAATTTCCTAAAAGGAACTTTTTAAACCTCATATTTGACGTGTTAGAAGCTTAGGAGCTCTTCTCCGTGCATATTACGACTGTTTTTTTTTTTTATTTTCCTGGCTGTTATAACAGAGAAAAATATTGGCGATCCGGCAAAAAATGACCTCCCCCTGATTTTCTTTTCATTTTTGGACTTCGGACACCTTGAAATGTGGAAAAATTCAAAAATTCGGGGGTAATTTCTGTATGTATGGATGTTAGTGTGTGTGTGTGTGTGTGGAGGGGCACGATTTAGTTTACCCCCTTTGAAGCTTAATAACTTCTGTGATTTTTGTCGAAAATGTCTGAAATTTTGCAGGGAGGTTTGTGTATTAGGGGGTTTGATGCTATTAAATTTTGGTGGTTAAAGATATGGTGGGGATATAATATGGGACTTAATAATGATTTTACTCGTTATTAGCGTTCACAATTTTTTTTTAAATAAAACCCATTTCCTCAAAATTAAGCTTTTTGCCAGTTTATACTAATTAAAAATATAAAAAGTTTTTAAAATAAAATATTATAACAGATGGCGTCACACACGCAGTTTTAAATGTTGCCGGGAAAGTTGAGCAACTCTTTGTTGACATATTTTAATTTCCTTTGCAATGGCTTGATTTTATTCGTTTACGGCAGTGTTTCTCAACGGGGAGATGTCCCCCATGTGGGCGTCTTTCCATGTTGAGGGGGGCGATTAGTAACAATTTATATTTTGGGGGGCGANTTTTTCCACATCCTTCTCATCATCGATAATTTCCATTTTCGGACAGAAAACCAAAAAACATTTAAAAAAAAAATAACAAAATATTGGCAGATGTAACTACGTAACAGCTATCAATTGAAACATCTTTGCTCAGTTATAACTAGAGCCAAAAGTTTTCACCAGTTTTTGGACCTAAAATCGCCAATTTTTTACATTAAATTTACCAAAAAAAAAAATTGCCAGTTATTTATTTCAGAAACGAGTTAAAACAAATTACACTTAGATATTTCAAATAATCCTCGCTTAAACTATGACTTCAATCGCTCAATATCAATGAATATAACGAGAACGAATGTTCAACGTCGACTGCAACTAAAAGAGCATATTCGCTATTAACTTTATCACTTAAATTCATATCAAAAGACGTAAATTTGATAAGATCAGGATTGCTTGACAAAACTTTTTCCAAATTTTGAGAAAATATAAGATAACCAGAAATAATTTCTTTTGCATTTTCAATTAGTTCGGCTCGTTTAGTTACACCGAGTCCTTTTTCTTCCAGCGATATTATAATATTTGATAGCTCGATGAGATTAAGTTGATCAAATAATTCTTTCTTGAAGTTAACTTTCTTCTCTCGCAATAGTTTCTTCTAGCATTTGAATGAGATTTTTGTTTATAGTTCAAAATGAAGCACTCAACAGTATCAAAATTATCGACATAGTACTTTGCAGCGTTTAACCAAGAACCCCAGCGAGTGACAATTGGTTCTGGAGGAAGATTACAAACTCCAGTTGCATTCTTAAAATAATTCTGTCTTCTCTTGACTTCAAAAAAACGTCTTCATTTCTAATATAAGCGAATTTGCTAATTTGTACTCATTCCGAATCCTAAATGCAACGTTACGTAAAATGCGAGCGAGACACGTGACGTGACATACATTTGAAAAAATCAATGAATTTTTCTTAATCTCACTGCCTTCATCATGGATTTTGCTCGATCTGTCACTATTAACTTCGGTTTTCAATATTTTAAATCATTTGGCCACAATTTTCTAGACACGTTGAGTATACATTCTTGTATTATAATCAGGGCTGTGGAGTCGCGTAAAAATCTACCGACTCCAACTCCGACTGACTCTTCCTTACCATCCGACCCTGGCTAAAACACCAAAACTCCACGACTCCGACTCCACAGCCCTGATTATAATGTTGTCAACTGTTGAGTGAAATGTCACATCAATTAACATTGATTTTGATTTCTCGCCATTCAATTTTCCTACAAGCACGTTGACCACTTTACATTGCACTTTGTCACTAGTTTCGTCAACAATGAAATAGACATCACGTCCATTAATTTCGTCCTTCATTTTTTCTGTTACTGAGTTGAAGATAGTTTTTTTTTTATGTGCCCGCAGTGCTAAAAAAATAAATAACGCAATGAGACTTCAAATAAAATCATGCTTTTTTTTTGGTACGGCGAAATATATTGCCACCTAATTCCTTAATCACGGAATCAATTTTAAACTCAATTGACTTGTTTTCTAGACATTTTTGCACGAAGCACATGGGAAAATGACGATTTCGCCACCTATCGCCAAATTTGCCAGTTAGGGTGAAAATTGCCGATTTTCGCCAAAAAAAAATAAAAAAACTTAGTGATATCGAGATCGGATTTTTAATTTAATACTAATTGAAAGATGTTAATTCCAAGCGAATATAGCTGAGAAATTCGTCAAAAGCGAAAATTTTCGGCTGTAGCTATAACTACTTCGAGTATAAAAATACTTAAAAAATTATTCCGAACGTATTTGCGAGATCGGCCGAGACCTACGAAGGAGAAATATTCTTCCTATATCGTTTATTCAAAAAACAATAAGTTAAAAAGCCCGCTAAGAGGCAAAAAGAACCCGCTCTACTCCTGTGTCCCGTACGAGCTCTCGACGGTTCCACTCCTCCCTCTTTTACCTCGGAGGCTACCGACCGATCTTCCGCATCCGTAACGATATTACGCGTCCGTCCAACGTCCGTTCCTCACCTAGAAGGATCATTT